AGATATTGAGTTTCCACATATGAAAGATACATTTTTATTTTCTATGCACATGTATGTAAATATTATGTCTGACACCTGCGCTGACAGGCGGGAAAGTACAGACTTATTAAAGGGCCAGTTCACACTAACTAGTCTCTGTTGAATGTGTCCAGATGTTTGAGTTTCATGTCTCCAGGTTTGAAGATTTGTGCCTCCAGCTCAGAACTAAATACATCCTATGACTAGATATATATGACTACATGTTTATTCTATTTCATTTTTATTGTTCACCTGAATCCTGTGTAATTTTGTCTTTGTATTTTACTGTCTTTAACTCAGCTGCTATGACATTTTAATTTCCCTCCATGGAATAATAAAGTCATCTATCTATCTATCTCCCTCTCTCTCTCTCTCCCTCCCTCTCTCTCTCTCTCTCTCTCTCCCTCTCTCTCTCTCTCTCTCTCCCTCTCTCTCTCTCCCTCTTCTCGTCTCTCTCGCCTCGCCATCTCTTCTCCCCTTCCCTCTGGCTCTCTCTCTCTGCTCTCCCTCTCTCTTCTCTCTCTCCCTCCGACTCATCTCTCTCTCTCTCTCAGTGGTCCACCACCTGTGGGCTGTGAAGGTATTGCAAGTGGGCCGTCAAATCATTTTCAAACCAGAACAGTTTAGGTGAAACGATATGAATATATAATATGATATAATATATGTATTAAATATAGATATATTATTATAATATATATTATAGATATAATAGGAATAATGTTTTTAAATGAAATGATCTTTAAAAACATCAAAAATGTTGAAAAACTCATTTCATTATCATATATATATTTTATTCTCACATTAAAGCCCATCACTGTGATAAACCAATAGGAACGCAGCGCAGTGAATACCTGTTCACTGTTCAGTCTCATGGTGAGTCGTCCATTAAAACCTGTTGCTGTCTCCAGTTCTGCAGCGGAGCTCCGCCCGTCCTCCGGGTGTTCGAGACCGTCCTGTACAAACAGGAAGTGATGTATGTGGTGCTGGTCCACAGCCCGGCCAATCAGAAGTTTCAGGAGCTTCCTTTGCTGAGTGACGACCCCACGGTCTGTGTTTACAAAGATGGCCGCTTCATCTGGAGCTGTCAGGCCATGTGTGGGACACACAGGTGAGACAAGAAACACTCAGAATCATTAAATAAGATTTACAAATATAAATTCTAATAAGAATGACTGAAGAGCAGTTTAACTCACAGAGGCAGAGGGAAGCCAGTACACTGACTGTTTACTGATTGTACTGACTGTACACGAGTCTTTCACTAAGTGTTTCCATCAGATGTGAGTTGGTGCAGACACCTGGGAGGAACCAGGTGGAGGTGAGGGAGCACTTCGGTTCTGATGTACAGTTTTACGTTTGGGATCATGTCGCCGTCGCCCTGCACATGGACGAAGGACAGGTGATCACTGTGCTCAGTATTCTGTCTGTGAAGGACGTGGTGGTCGCTGGTGTGAAACTCAGTCGTTCTGCTCGTCATCTGGTTTTATTCTCCAGGTGCTGAAGTTTGATGATGACAGACTGAGGGAGAGTCTGACGTTCTGTGATCAAGGTGAAGGTTCATACCATCCAAACTTTGACAGACTTGAAGTGGCTAAAGAGGTCGTTTGTGAACGTTTGTGGCCGAGTTATCCTGCACCGCTGGAGAAGGAGCGCTCGCTGCAAGAGTCACTAGCAGGTATTAATTAATCAATATCACACTGTGGTCGTGATGTCGTTCTGAATATCAGCACAGCTGTGATTCAGTCAGAGACAATCAGCTGATATCAGAACATCACGACCTCGGTGTGATGTTATTTTATACAACAGTTCTCCGAGCGCCATGTTAGTTCAACAAACAACAGATTATGATTTGTTTATTGTATCATTTATTTGGCTACGACAACACAGTTCCAACTGGACCGGGACTGTTGCTAAGCAATATAAACATAAACAAGCAAAGAAAAAAATAGGAAGTACATTAAAAAAGTAAAGATAAAAAATAATCTTAAAATATAAAAACATGTACTTATGCTATAATATATATAAGTATATAATATATAAGTTCTGTATAAATGTTATTATTAAAAGTATTGTCGTCATGGTGACTGAGCTTTAGTCTAATGCTGAAGTATTGTCGTCATGGTGACTGAGCTTCAGTCTTTGAGTGTCTTCGGTGTGTCCAGCCTCAGTCTGACTGAACTGTTTCCACAGCTCTGAGCCTGTGCAGCAAAGTGTCGAAGCAGCCGAAGCTCTGTCACACGTCTCCGTCCTTTCCTCTGTCCCCCCTCCTCATCGGGGACTCGATTGTGAGGAATGTGAGACTGGGGGGGGGCAACAGTGTGTCATTTCCCGAGGCCACCGTTCTGGAGATTAAGGACAAACTTCCTGATGTCATCAGGTTCCACCCCGAGGCCGACACCGTCATCATCCACGCTGGTTTCAACGACATCTGCAAGGAGGAGTCCGAGGTTTTAAAGCTCCACTTCCTGCGTCTCTTCGACTCTGTCAAACAGTTCCACCTCAGTGTCTTCATCTCTGGTCCCACCCCCACCTGTGGCCGGGGGATGGGGCAGTTCAGCCGGCTGCTCGCTCTCAACACCTGGCTGTCCTCCGTCTGCGACACCCACGGCCTCGGCTTCATCGACAACTTCAACGTCTTCTGGTTAAGGAGGCATCTTTTCTTAGCTGACGGGTTCCACCTAAACAACGCTGGCAGACGTTCGCTCGCCAACAACATCCTGTACAACATACAGCACGCTTACATCCCCCCACCAACCCCCCCTCTGACCCCCCCACCCACCAACCAGTCACTGCTGTTCTAGTTCCACTGTTAACAGTTACACGTCCTCAACCGGACTCACACCCTCTGACATCAACACTTCAACAAGTGTCGTCGTCACACAACAAACAACAAACAAGTTTAATTTTCTCAGTTGTTTAGTAGCTGCATTGTCACTGATTGTGACGTTGTTTCATCTTCACAAACTCGTCAACGATCTTTATTCCCTCTGACTGAGTCGTATCTTTTAAGTGATTCAGCGTTGTCTAAAGTTTCCAGAACACAGCGACGGTTACGATTCTTAGTGAGTTTGGACTTATGCGTCTAACCTCTCCCAGACTGAGGAGCAGCTTTTAGAGCTAAGTGTCTTTGTGAATTACTCTTAGTCTAAATCCCATTCCTCATTTTTACCCTTACCCCCTTTTAGCCTGAAGGTGTTTTGTGAATACAGAACCTGGTTGTCAATAATAATATTGACTCAACTCAGATGAAGCCTCACCATCAAACTATATTTTCTATACTCCACCAGGTGGTAAAAAAGATGGCGGCATCACTTGGTTTTAAAGACATTACATTTTGAATATCACTCTTTGATGTTCAGCTTCTTTTATCAGGTGGTTTTAACCTGCGTGTTGACGATCAGAAGTTTTACATTTGCTTTTACATTTGTTTTTTCCAACGTGTTCCTCAGCTCACTCAGAACAGAGGTGGAGCTTTAGACCTGGTGATAACCCACGGTTTTCATACAGTCAGTGGTTTTATACAACAGAGCGAACTGAGGAAACACTGTTGTACTGTTACTGATCTGTTACGTGAGGCTGTGGCAGACATTTGACCGTCCTCGTGAGATTTTATCGTAGACAGTTTTAACAGGAAGCAGCAGGTGGAGAAAGAATAAATTAATTATTCAATCCTCTGTGAACAGCTGACTATTTACAACTAGGTAATTAAACTCACTTCTTCTCAACCACTGGTCGTTTAATGAAGCCTGTTTTTAACTGAGTCCTACTGATTTACCAGATTTGCTTTTATCTGGAGAACCCTCAGGTCTTCTGGCCGTGGTCTTTGATTAAAGTCATAACCAAAACCTACAGTGAGGTGTCTGAAGAGCTGCGGGCAGCAAACTCAACACCTACATTTAAAATAATTTACAGCTTTGAATTGAATTTTATTTACTTATGTTTGAAAAATTGTGATACTTTATGATAAACATAACTATCCTAAAGAGAAACTGTAATGTCCTGAAGTGAACTTTTCCTTATTTTGACATTGTGTTTGTTTTCAAGACAGGAGTTGTCAGAGAGGAGCGCAGTGACCTTCGCTGCTCCTCCCAGCCACTACACCCAAACATTAGCTATGATAAGGCATGAATCAAGTCAGTGTATCTCATATCAGCAAAAATGTGAGGTCACTCCCAGATGTTCTGTGTATAAATCCTGGGTGAATCTTGCATTCGTTGAACATTTGCACTGCAAGCTCTTGTGTGTAACTTGTTCCCTTGCTACAAGAATAAATATCCTACTCTCATAATTTTCAGACGGTGTTCCTGAGTTTATTTGATCATTTTCCTAACAACTTATTTTGTTGATTATCTTATTGATACATCAAGGCTGTTTTTCTGATATGTCCTTTTATTCTATGTTTATTTTTAGTTTTCCTTTATTATTGCTTTTATTCTGCAAAGCAGCTTTGCTTTACATTGTTTGTATGAAAAACAAATAAAGTCTGATTGATTGATTGATTGATTGATTGATTGATTGATTGATTGATTGATTGTAATGCATAGTTGAAAAAGCTGTCAAAAAGTCCAGGAGCCATTCTCCATCATGAGTCTGTGACCTTGGCCCCCAAGCTCCTACTCTGATCCACATCCTAACATAACAACTGTAACGCCGAGGGTCAGTAAATCCTGTAAGAAACCAGCTTCATCAACATAACAACTGTAACACTGAAGGTCAGTAAAGCCTGTATGAAACCAGCTTCATTAACTTAACTGTAAATCTGAAGGTCAGTAAAGCGTGTATGAAAGCAACTTCATCAACATAACAACTGTAACACTGAAGGTCAGTAAAACCTGTAAGAAACCAGCTTCATCAACATAACAACTGTAACACTGAAGGTCAGTAAAACCTGTAAGAAACCAGCTTCATCAACATAACAACTGTAACGCTGAAGGTCAGTAAAACCTGTAAGAAACCAGCTTCATCAACATAACAACTGTAACGCT